TGAATGTCCTGCTGGCATTTTTTTTTTTTTTTTTTTTTTTTTTTTTTTTTTTTTTTTTTTTTTTTTTTTGGTTCTGGTTATCTGCAAAGTATACACCCCTTGTCAGTATAACTAGGGAGTGCCTGTGTAAACATTCTTGTTTTGCCTGTTCCACATAATCGTTTCTTGTATCATATTTCTTCTGACCTCGCTATCTGAAACCAATTACAGGAGATCCATTTGGGCTGCATCTATTTTCATAAGAAGCCTAGGCAGCAGTGTTTTTCTCAGAGATGAATATCAACATCAAATATGCTTCTGAGTGCTTTGTTATTTATGTTTCAGAGAGATTTTGTAGCCTTCAGCTCTCAAGAATGTGTCATGCTGTGCTGTTTATACATTGAAGATATTAATGGGTGTAGATGCCATTTTTCATTTTAATGTCTCAAATGCAACAGGCTGATAGGTTAAGCATTCCTATTTTTATAGGGAGAGATATGAGTGATGTCTGTTTTCTCCCAAAATATACATATATTTACTTTGAAAAAAAGAAGTTATTTATTAACCTTAGAATGCTCAACATTTTTGGTTTCACTGGGTGTTTCTGAGCTATTCTCAAACAATTTTACTCCTCGTGAAAGTTTTCAGGGTTTTTCAAGATATTGATCTGACAGGTTATAAAGCTTTTTTACTCTTAATTCTCATAACGACCTACTCATTAAAGTCACTGTCCATATATGAGATTCATAGGTAGCATAAAATTACTACTGTGGTGGAGGGGTGATAACTTGAACTTCTGTTTTTCTTACAGAATTTTAGTTTATTTGAAATTAAACAGTAACTATTAGGAATGCTGTTTTCAGTAAGTATTTTTTTAAAGTTTTTATTTAAATTCCATTTAGTTAACATACAATGTAATACGTGTTGTGGAGTCAGATGCACTGAATTCTGAAAAACTTGTGCATTCCCACACCTCTGCAGCCTAACAAAAATACATCTTTAATCTGTTGTAAAAATTTTTATTCATTTTTCAAAATATTTTAATTTAATCTGATTCCAATTTTTAAAATGTCCTATCTTAATTTTCTTTCACTTTACTAAAATTAGATAACTTCATTAAGTAAAGTGCACTATTAATTCAAAACAAATGTGTTTTTGGAAACTAGATATGGTTTGGCTGTCTTAGAAACCTCTTTCTTATTGTTCACTAGAATCACACTCAGTCATTATTAAAGGAGATTCTGTAAACATCTCTTGTCTTTGCTCTAATTTTTTTTTTTTTTTTTTTTTTTTTTTTTTTTTTTTTTTTTTTTTTTTTTTTGGCAGAGCAGAGGGTGATCATATAAATCCTAAATAGCTCATAGAACTTAATGAATGGCCCTGGAATTTATCTTTTCTATTTACCAATTGAAGTGGACAAGTGATTTTCAAATTAATATTTTATGTAATTTGACACCTAACACCTTATATTGATGAAAGTGTTTTATCTCATAATCTTTCATCTTTTGGGTAGCTACAAAATAAATTACTAAGATGAACTAAATATCTGTGAGCAATTGTTTATTAAAATTCAGTCCTAAAATGATATCCAGAATGCTGGGAATAAAAATGTCATGTGATGCCTGCAGTTAGAATGCAAACTGCCAGAGATGCCTGCTTAGGATAAGTTTTAAATCATTCCTGATATCTTAGAGTTATTTTTTGTTCTCCTGACTTTTATGTTTGCTACGGCAGTCTCTACTGCTACTAAAAGAATGTTGGAATAGGCAAATGTTTTTTTTTTTTTTTAATTAATTTATTTTTTTTTATTTTAGAGAGGAGGGGAGAGGGGCTCTTTTTCATAAGAATTTGTACTGAAAGATGATCCTGGACTATTAAAAAGAAAACTTTTTTTAACATTTTATTTTTGAGAGAGAGAGAGAGACAGAGCACAAGTAGGGAAGGGGCAGAGAGAGGGAGACACAGAATTGGAAGCAGACTCCAGGCAGGCTCTGTCAGCGCAGAGCTGATGCGGGGCTTGAACGCATGAGCCATGAGATCATGACCTAAGGCAAAGTCAGACGCTTAACCAACTCAGCCACCCAGGCACCCCCGATCCTGGACTATTTTAAAGATAACTCTCAATGTGCATGGAAACCAAGGTACTTTAAGAGTTTAGCCAGCTGTCTGTGGTATTCTACTATTACTATTACTCCTGTAAAAACATGCACATGTACACGTATGCTTTTGTCCAGGGAATTTTCATGTGCTGCAATTTCAATAAATCTAATTTTCTAGTGTCTTTCTATAGCCACTGGGTGTTGCATATTCCATTGGGTTTCTTGTGTGGGTTGAGCTGAATGAGTATCATGCAGGATGGTGACATGAATAGGGCCCTAAGCTTGGAAGACAGCTTAGAAGTTCACGCCTGAACTTTTGACCAAACGATGCTACTGCTTTGTGACTTTAATCAAGTTATTGTCATGTTGGTGCTTCAGTCACTTGTCTGGAAATTGTGAAAGCTAAGCTAAACAACGTGTAAGACTTATGTCCAGCTCTAGAATTGTTCAGTTTGTTCAGTTTATTTGTAATAACTGGTCAAATGATCAGAGGGTTCCAAGAGTTTAGAGTTCCATCAGGTATTGGTCGAGGATATCCAAGTCAAGGATGGCAGGAACACTCAGCGATAAAAACAATCTGTGTTCCGTGGTAGTTGTTCCATTCAAACATTTACAAATTCAAATGTAAAAAGATTATATTGTAGTTTTTCTTTTAGGTTTGGATAAATGAATATGCTCTCTTTATAGGTAAAAATCACTCATTATGGCGCCATATGTGCTCCTTTACTCCAGCTTTACCCATTGCCATCTAATGGTTTCTTTGATGGAACAGAGAGAGACAACATGGCACACTGGAATGCACTCTGGCCTGGAAGCGGGAGACCTTGAACAAAACACTTGATTACTCTAGGCCTCATTTTCTCATTTGTTAAACTGAGGGCATCAGCGTACATGATTTCTATGATTGCTTTTAGTCCCAGCCGTCCATGATTCCAAGATTCACAACTATGTTCAGCAGAATCCTTTAAGAATAATAAATGGCTACAGAATTAAATATAAACTCAATAAGTCTGTGTGTACACAAAAGGGGAAAAAACAGTTATATGAAAAAGATGAGGCAAAATTTGTGTGGACTGTGGCAACAAAGGCAAAAATAGTTGATGGATTTTTTTTTTTTTTTTCTTGAGAGTTTCACATAGACACAGCCTAAGTCACACTATGGTAATTTCCACTTGCACAATATCATTTGGAGTTATTTTATAAATTGTGATTTAAAAAGTGAAGCTGTATCATTTAGAATGTTAAATGAAATCTTTTAAACTAAGTTTTGTGATAAAGTATTTGGGGACTTTTTTACTTGGTCTTTCATTTGTCAAACTGCACTTCACATGAAATTGCCTGAGTTCACTGGAATGTGCCATCCTTAGAAACATCGAGGTAGTAATTACTTGAAAAATTGAAAAAACAAAAGATTGCTGCTCTGAGTGAGTGTGTCTCCAAATGTAAAAAGTGTGCTTTACAAACTATGCCAGATCCTGCTCCGGGAAGACAAATCAGCGTTGTTAGGGGAGGGTGCTATAGTGCCTTCAGTTTGTTTACTTTGGTTTCTATGTCTGCCTGCCTTCTCAGAAAACTTGCTTGGAGCCAGACTGTAGCAGCCCTCTCTCTGTCTTTTCATAATTGATCAGGGGATGACTGCCTTCCCCGAGGGTTAAGACGTGGCAACTTTTTCTGTTTGCTCAGCATCTCAATGCAGTAGTTCAAACATTGTTCACACCAGCTGGCAGTGTAATGCCATATGCACATCTTGTCAAAGCAACTGTTGTCATGGATACTAGAAACTCTCTTAAAAACCAGATCATTGATTCCAATCAAAATTGTACTTTTTATCAGCTTAGAATCTCAATTATGATAGTAGAATATTGATCTAAGATATTCTCCCATCATGAAAAATTTACCTTGTATTCTAAAACAATGAAGAACAGAGTAGGGCAATGATTTATTTTAGTTTTATGTGTTGAGAAATTTCATCATTAGTGTTCATTAAACTCAGTTATTGAGAGAAAAAATGAGTTTGCAAAGTAGAGGCTCTTAAAAAGTTTTTTTTCCCCTTAATTTATACTGCTACCCTAAAAGCATCTCAATATGTATTTTTTCATGACATTCGTTTTTATATAAGTTTATATAGTGTACTCACCAAACTGCCCCTCCTCCTGTAAATGAAATGCTTTATTTCTTATGTTAAGTTTTGTTTTCCTGAATGGGAAAAAAAAAAACATAAAAATAAATGAAAACATCTTCTATTTTGATTGGTATTCTGTCACACATAGAAACAAACCTGATTGGTTGAGTGGTAATTTCTTTGTTCTCTGATTTTGCTAAGAATGCAAATGAAAACCACTCAATTTTATTTGGCATTAAAACTGCACTTTATTTTGTCAAAGGAGAGGTTTCCCCTTGAATTGTAAGTACAAAAAAAGTGTTTTTAATCTTTGGTGAAAATCCTTATTAATTCACTTTCAAGATAATCTGATGTTGATTTGTCAAATTTAATTACAGCTTCCGGTAACACTTGAAGTCTACTGCTTTTGCTTCAAAATTGTAATATGAAAATGCAAATTGAATGATAATTTAAAAGGGAGTGGGCATTTTAGTTGAACACTCAAAGACAAGTTCCTTGTGGAAATGAGGTTATTGATGCAGTTTATGATTTTTTCCTCGTTAAGCACTTTAAACAAATTAACTTTATTTCCTGCAGGATTCCATGTATCTCCATGACTTTAAGTAAAGTTGTGTATGTGTTATATGTGGGATTTTTGTTTCACATTAGGAGATATTTAATAATTCTCTCTAGAAGGGAGGATGGGAAAGGAGCTGTCATACATTGAAGCCTTTTACTATTAACCAAGGAATAGCCAATTATTGATAATCAATTTACCATTCAACAAAGTATTTAGATATTGCTCCCTTTTTTACTTTTAGGCTCTCCAAGCAGCTAGACAACTTCTCTTACAGCAGCAAACAAGTGGATTGAAATCTCCTAAGAGCAGTGACAAACAGAGACCACTGCAGGTTAGTAAAGCATTCTTGTCCTTGAGATCTTATTTTAAAAGATGTTCATAATGATAACAAATGTGCAGACCCAGTTGTATACATTCAGAAAATTATTACATTTGCATGTGTTGATAATTTTAATTCAAAAAGAGAGCCCATTTTACTTTTTGGAAAGAGAAAAATATTTTCTATTTCCATAGATTTCAAAAGTGTACGAGGCCACTTATTGCGAAAATTGTATAGAAACCACATTTGGTATACGTAGGCATAAGAAGTTTTGTATAAAACTCCCTTGTGGGATTTTAACAGAATTTTATTCACAAGTTAAAATAAAATGTGAAATTTCTTCTCCAAAAGCAAAGCCATAGTAAGATGGTGTGGAAAGAGACAAAGCAGTCTTAGACAACCTCCGCAGTTGTATCCAAGTGACAAATGCAGAAAACCTCCAAGGTTGCCAGAAAAACTGTTTGAGTTTGCCAAGGAGTTATTGCTGTTGCTACAGTTATAAAAACACATTCTGGAGTTTGTTGTCCTTATTCACTATGTTTGTCCTGTGCAACTGATAGTATATGTATGTCCTTTAAAGTAACTTTTTCTTATGTAATATAACCACTGTTTCATATAGTCTTACCCAGGGTATATAGGCCATTGTTTGGGGAGAAGAAGCATTTTTAGGGTGTTTTTTTTCATGTTTGGAAGGTAGAATCTGGAGTTACATAAAACATCTTTCAAAATGTTTATCAGCTCTGTTGAAAGATAAGCAATGGTTTTTCCTGAATCCTGTGTTATATGTAAGCCTAATAAGGTAAGCTTAGTTTAAAAAAAAAAAAAAAGTAAGCATCCTTCTTGTTCCTTTATTTTAACAAAACAATCTTGGGTTTTTTTTTTTTTTTTTTAATGGCCTAGCTGTCTATTTTCATTTTCAGGTGTATTCCCAGATGCTAGTAATTAAATCTTACATGATGGCCTTCTGAATGACAGAGAATTACAGGCTACTTATCTACACAATCCAGAAACTACTTATTCCCTAAAAACTGGATTAAATTTTTGGTCCCTAAACAAATTTGAGATCAGAATATATGTTGTTGGGAACCAGCCCTTTCGTGGGAGGTGGGTGGGAAGAAGGAGGACTTGTGGAGAGGGGTTGTGTTCCAACCGTGTAAAGTTCAAATGTCTGCCATGATTGCAAAAGTTGTAGTGAATCAGCCTGAGTTTAAGATTCATTTTAACTTTTTTTAAAAAAATAAATGTCACATTCTTTTGTTTAAACTAATCAGTAATTTTATGGTGACACACTTTCCTCACCATCATCTCTCCCCAAGTAAATGACAGTGATTGGAGTATTTCCATCAAATTCTCTTAGTCAAAGGGAGCCTCTCCATACATTTACATGACAGAGAAAAATCTGCATAGAAGTCACATAAGATAGCAAATGAAATATTTTCCTCACTGTAGCTTCAGAATGGGAATTTTGCACTGTTGTTGGCATAGCAAGGGAGGTTTAGTTGCTGGCAGCATAAGCCAAAGGTAGGAGTTTATTGTTTCGACTTTGGGAAAAGCACTACATATTGTCCTAATTCTATTTTAACATGCCCCTTGATAAAAAAGACTAAGTAGTTGTTCCTTCCTCCCCAAAGCTAAGTCCAGTAGAAGCTTCTTTATTGCTGGTTACCAGGGTATCTTTGGAAAGAATGGTTGGGCTTTAGTTTGTCTTTCTTTTTTTGTTGTATTGGAAGGCAAGATTTGATACTTTGTTTAACTAAAATATACATAATTTTTCTTGGAAAGCACACACATATAATGTAGGAATATTAATTACTCTAAAATAAGAAATTGTTGCTCATGTACCAAATGTTGTATAAATAAAATTTCGGGCGGAAGTCCTCAATTTTGTTATTTTATTGCGAAAGGATGATTGAAAGTAATTTAAATATCTTTAAACAATTTCAAGTGCTAACCATTACCACAGACTTTTCTTGTGTCACTTATATTTAGTGTTTTATGATGCATATTAATATATCTCCTTTGTATAAATTATAAAACTATAGCATTTTATTATTATTTTGTATTTTAATCAGGTCTAATGCCAAAATGTCATAGGAATGAAAAGTTGGTTTTTATGAATGAGAATTTAGAAGTAATGAATGAAGACTTACCTGTTCACCAAATTATATACTGCGATTAATATAATGTGAGCCTAAAGTTTTAGTATCTCGCAGAATTTGATAAGTTTAGCAACTGTAAACATACTGGGATTGTGTTACAAACCTAGCAGCATCTTCCTAGTTTGCATATGTTGCCAAATGAGGATATTAGGTGATGCTTATCCTTGCATCTGCAAATGCTTTTTAATGTGAGTTGCACTATTAGCCACTTATGTGAAAGGGTTGCATATTTTTGTTAAAAATTTTAACCATAAAATATGAAATTAACACTTTAAAACTTTGATGATTTTTTTTCAGTCTAGTTCTTTTTCTACGTAAAGAGTTTAACCAATCTTTCAGAATAGAGTTGGTGTAGATTATCTCTTAAAATGAATAAAGATAATTGAACATGTTTCAAAACCTGCACTTATAAAGGCTAGGTATTTGGTGCTGATAATAGATCATGGTGGTTTGTGCTTTATCATACATAACACATTTTTAGAGGACCAAAAGAAAGGGCGTGTTTTTCATTTTCAAATATAGTTTTGATGGAGAACTATTTTATAAGGTTTGAAAAAAAAATAGAGAGAGATAAAAAAAATCTGTTTTGATGGCTCAAGTCACAAGAACAATATTAGGTCTTGTTATACTCAACTGATTTCTTTGAAATGTTGAAAAGTAGTAGCCAGATTTGAAGTGTGACATGGTAGAGAGTCTATTTCCAACAGACTAGTATTTATCTGCTATTACTTTTTCATTTACATTTTTTTCAGGGTTTTGTGCTACAGATGACTTAGATATTAGCCTATCTAATACAAAATGGAAAGAAAAAAATCACATCTGACAAGCTCGAGTACCGATTGTAGTAATAATTTCACTCTTCATGTATAGATATCTGAATATATGTATTTGAAACATATTTACATTTTCTATTCATTCCATAAAACACCAATTGAATAGGTCCAGTCAGTAGGTACATTGATTAATGACATATTGATGAATAATATATAAAGATTGTGATGCAAATGGGAGCTCATATTAACCTAGGCATTACCAGATGTTTTTTCTTTACATGCTTACTGTATACCCCAGAAAACACACTATAATGGCTAAAGACAGCCTCTTGTCTTGATTTCTGATATTTACTTATATCTACTCCTAGAACTTCCTAGGCTTGGTTTACCCATAGTGGATCATAAAAAGAAAAGTTAGCCAAAGAGAATAAGTAATGCTTTCAATCTCATAAAACTAATTTCCAGATTAAAAAGAGTAAATTTCTTTTACTGTTTTTAAACACACGCACACACACACACACACACACACACACACACACACATTTGCATATGCACACATGCACACTTCCATAATCTGTAAATTTTAAATTTTTTGTAAAATACATTATCAGTTTTCTAGCCTATGACAAATCTACTTAATTTAGTTTAGGTATGAAAATTGGTCGCATTATTGTTCTTGTTACATTTACAGCCATGAGACAGACTTGTGGTTCTTCAACAGCTGTGCAGAGCAGAGACGTAAATTTAAGGTAAATGACATTGCTTTGCTATCTTAGATGAATATTAGTATATAGTATTGTAATCACTTCATTGTAGGTTAATATCTAATATAAGGTTCTCTTTTCCAATAGGTAATTAAAATATATATTTTTTAAATAATTGTATTAAATAGTTCAAGAACAGAAGAATAAAAAGCAGAAGTGAATTACACTCAAGGGTCTTATTCTGACTCTGCCACAAACCAGTTAAATAAGTTAAGGAAGCCACTCATCTTTTTAAAGTAGAGACATTGGGCTTAACTGATGGACAAAATAATACAATATGTGCTTTAAGATTTATTTTTTTAATCAAGTTATAGGCATCTTAATTTTTCAGGAATAGCTGTATCTTGTTGGGTATTAGTTTATGAGTTAAGATTTTATTTGTTTGTTTGTTTTCAGTTACAAAGCACTTGTTTACTAACATGCCATAGCCAAAAATAATGTTTTGGAATCAACGTACTAAATCCTGTATGCGTGGAAACCATTGTGCAAGTATCATTTTGTACAATATCTGAAGAAACTTTGTTCTTTTTAATGCCTTGAAGTAGTTTTATAAATTGATTTTAGAAGAAACAAAAGCTACACAAAGAATGATTTTACCTATGTATTTTATTTAATAATCTACAGTAAAATATGTTGTGATATAATACAATTTAGCAAATTTCTACCTTTTTTACTTCTTCAACTTGAAATGTTAAAATTAACATCAGCAGACAAAACAAGAAATTCTGCAGTAAACTACTCAGCATTTGTAAAATTTCATATTCTCGGAATAAACCAAGAATAAAGTATGAAATATAAATAATGAAATATATATTCTAGAAGAAAATAATAACTGTAGGATATGGAATTAGACACTGATAAATAATTTAGGTTTTAGGAAATTATAAATGTTCGTGCATGCAGTGGTAAAGAATAATGTTGAATATTTCCTTTTCAACCTAATTTCTGATTTCTAGTATGGAAGAATTAGAAGGAAACTAAAACATCTTGTTTCAAATACTGAAAGTAACAAAATCAAAAAATTTGCAATATGGATTTGAGTAGAGCAATGCACTATGATGTAGAAAACAAGATTTTTTAAAGTTTTTTTTGCTATTTTTTCTATGTATCAAAAAGATAGGCAGTAAGTCGAATACATTGCTTTTATTTCATAAATCATAAATTTTAAAAAGTTTAACTTAAAAACTATTCACAAGGACAGACTATGCCTGTGTGGTACTCATTTTCCCATTAAAGTACAGAGCATTTCTTAAAAGCCAGCATGAAATAAGCAGTTTTACAAGAATGTTATAGAATACAACCTTAAAATATGATGA